AATTTAAAGTCTGAAACAAAATCGAAATTACAAGTCCAATAAAACTGAGAAGAAGCAAAAAAGAAGACCTTGGGGTGAAAGCTGGGAGCAAGAAAAGGAAGATCCTGAACGTCTTCCCAATCGGAGGGTGAGAACGGTGGGCTATCGGTGAGAGATCCACCGTTCAATGGGCCGCTGCTGTGGGAAAGCCGGGCGGACGACGGCTGCGAAGCCTCCTGCTGTTAATAAGTGCGAACAAAACAGGAAACGATTAATCACTTCATCGGAGAATTCAAAGATCTAATCTTTTTTAGTTTCAGAGAAGATGAGTTTTTGTACTCACAGAATGAGACATTATTCTCTCCAAGACGAGCTGTGAGGTGGCTGAGCAGGCGAAGGTGAAGGAGTTTCCGGCAGCTAAAGTTGAGTCAAAGCTGTTGGGTTCGCCGGTGGAGTGGTCATGTTCGACGGCTGAGGTGGCGGAGCGAGGTGGGAGTCGAGGGGAGAGAGCTTTTGAGATTTGGAAGGCGGTGGGACTCCATGATCGGGAAAGGAACTCCATTGAGTCTTGTATGAGCTCTGGCGGTGGTGTGGCGGTTCCTGCGGTGGATCGCAGCGGCCATATTTGACCGGAGTTGTCCATGGAATGCGGCGGAGAGGGATGGTTGATGCGAAGTTAACTTCATGTCCTCCGTTTATACAGAATGAGAGAGATATATAAATATTACAAGTGAACCAGATGTGAATGCTAGTTGAACTTGGGCGGGCCCAGATTTGATTTGTGTTTGGCTCCTTAAAATATATTATTGTTCATGTTCAACCTGTTAATATATCGTTAATATATCGATCTCAAAATATTTATTTTAAGAGTAAACCTGAGCTATTCACGAACAATAAATCATTTTGATATCCCTGCTCATGTAGCCGTGCTATATTAAAGATAGTGATGAGATTAAAATATTCATATTATATTTTAATTCTAATTTTTAAATTTATAATATTAATTGATTATATACATATAGCACGAGCTATATAATGAGTCAAACATGAGTTATTTGCGAACAATAAGCTATTTTGACAGCTCTAATGCTACCGAGTTAAGTGCAAATTACATGTGAATCGGTCATATTGACATGATATTTAAGTGATATTGAAGTGATATCGCAATGACATCACAATATTATTGGCCGTGCACTTGCATGCGCTCAACATGCATATATAATCTTCGTCCGAGAGAGAGTGTGTGTGACAGGAGCTGATCAGTTTGGCAACGTGGCTCGGCGCTCTCTTCCTCTCCATGGATTTGGATCTTCATGCAACTATGAGGAATTAATTGAAGATTTGAAGTTATCAATTAAGTGGTGGAGATTCTTCAAATCAAAGTAAATTTAAAAAAGTAAAATAATTTAAACTATATTATGAGCATAAACTTGTATGAAAAAATATTTCAAATCAAAAGAATATTTATTTACATTTGTGATTTATAATTTATTAAAATTGAATAATTGCCAAAACTTGGTGAGAAAACAAGCAACTTCATGAATGAAAAATAAAATAAAAAAATAAAAAAAAAAAGAGGCTAAAAGGTCCAACGGAGAGGTCAATGGGAACTCCTCAAAGCTACAGTGAAAGGCCTGCTCATTGCCAAAGCCTGGCACCAAAATGCACATAAGAACATGGAAGCATTATTGGCCCGGAATCATAGAGATGACATTAAATAGGAAATATATACAATGAACATTTAAATTATTGGCCTCAAAAGTTTATTTTAAGGTCACAAATTTAACTTGTATGTTGTTTTTTTAATTTATCATCTATCATTTCAAGAAACAACATAACTATACAAGATTCCATATATATAAATATACATATATACACCACCCTCATGTGTCTAACTATTTGATGACGGTCCTCACTACCGACAAACTGGCTAGAGGGGGATTCGAACACTTAACCTGGGGAGACTTACAACCTTCAAAAATACAGCTCTATCAACCGACCACAATTGGTGGCACATCTATATATATATACAGAAAAAAAAGTAATTTACACACCTAAACGTTTACACATCTCACATCTTAACTTTTATATTTTACAGTACAAGACTCATAAGGTTTATTTGATAAATTATTGAATAAATTTTGAAAGAAAAGAAAGAAAGAAGAGAGAACACAGAATATGATTCCAAATAATGAAACAAAAACAGACATTACCTGCACCATCTGGATCCGTGCATCAGAAGGACAAAACTGCAAAGGAATATTGTAAGAATGGAGGTCAAAATGGGAACAATAAGTCGTTGCAGGTATGATTTTCTTGGAGCCATGCAAGTCATTCCAAGGGAGAGAGGGGACCTACGCTAGGGATTCAAAGCCCAAACGTTTTGAAGAAAACAAGAAATCAAAAGAAAGAGTGGGGCTAATTGGATTCAAATGTGTGATGATTGTGACACCTATGTTTTGGTGGATTGAATTTTCTCTCCTCTCTCGTGGATATGGTTGTTAATTATTCGATTTTGAGCCAAGATGGGATCGGCTTGAAATCAGGTCGAATGAGTTGAGTGTAGCTCGGAATCAATTTGTGGCTTGTTGTATTTGATTTTGAGTTAACTTGGCTTGAAATTGAATCGAGCTCGATCCGGCTCGAAATCAAAACAAACTAGTTAAAATTGAGTTATTTGGATTAGTTCCAGTTCGAAGTTTAGCTGAAACTATGTTATTTGAATCTGTTACAGCTCAAAATTAACTTGTCGCTTGATATATTTGATTTTATTTTATATTATTTGTATATTTTTTATAAATAAAAAAAATACTTAGTGCTACAAATTCGAGTCGATTTGTATATGACTCGTAACCATCTTAAAAAAAGGAAAAAAAAAAGTTTCAGCCCACGGCACCGCTCGTTTCTTCTGATATGATCTAAATGTGAACCAAAATTATACTCAATTTTCGAGAAATTATTATGTACGTCACAACGGTCGTGATACAACGGAGGTAATAATATCTCCAATTTTCGATGCAGTTAATGATCTTCGAGCAAGATTCAGAGACCTACCCATGGATTTAGGTTTCGTTATTTTCTATGCATGCTTCTACTTTAGATGATTTGTCACCTTGTTATGTTAATCTAGTATTTAAGCGTAAATTTTTAGGATAGATGGCCAAAACAAATTAAGATTAAGGAGTGATAATTATGGGCTCTCATGAACCAAACTTCTTTTCACAATCTAGTTATGAATGATGGATTTATTTGAGGAAATAGCGAATGAGTGGTGGTGATTTATGTTGAAGTGTGGTATGTTTGAGAAGTTGAAAAAGTTAGCTACTTAGTTGTAGTATGATGTGTGCTAGAAAATTTACGGTGGTAGAGTGACCATTTTTTGTGCTGTACGAGAATCCAACATAGACTCAGATGAAAGAAGAAAACTGGTATGAACACTATAATTTTTCATGTGAAAAACCTAGAAAAGAAAAAAAATCACGAGGTCTTGACCTGTTGAAATATTGTACTATGAGTTGGTGATCACATGCACAAATCATTATCCCACAAGCGAGAAAAGATTACATAGTTTCACGAGTTATCACTTCAGCGTGCGGAAGAGCTAGTTGCCCCATGGTAGAGAGCAGTCACATCATGGAGCAACTACAGGAGCTTTGATGCACGTTCTCCGGGGACTGGACAATGTTTGAAATGATGCGTTGCTTCAAAGGTTGCTTCCTGATTTCGTGGTTGGTTTTTGCTTCGCGTAGTGCTTTTTCACGAGGAGTGGGCTGTGGCGTGGTGGTCGGTGGCTGCTAGAGAGTGTGGTTTATGGTGCTTGGCTGTTGCAGAAGCGGCAGGTCAGTTGTAGTCGGTGATGGCTGACGAACGGTGTTCGATGGTGATTGGCGACTGCAGAGATAGAAGGTGTTCGCTGAAGATCCTTGACTTCAGCTCTCACTTTTGCAGCCTCTAGCCTATTTCTTTTTAAGGATCTAGTGCCCTCTTCATGAGTGGTAGGACACTACTTAAAGAGTCCAAGTTACAAATAAGGAAGAAATATGGTTCATTTTGAACGGATATCCCAAAGAGATCCCCTTAAGTGGACGACGTTTGATTATTTGAGTGTCTTATTAATGTTTGAATGGAGCGCTCTTGGCTCGTTAGATTCTTCATGTTGAGACGCTCGACTTGACTATAGGCTTGTCAATTCGAAATCTGTTAACATTCTAATTATACTCAGAAAAGTCCTGAAAGTGATTTAATGGCTTGATCAATGCTTGATTTGACTTAGATTGAACCAATTTTGGTACTGTTGGGTTCATCTCAGAAAGCCGGTCAATTTGACTATAAATTTGCTGAAATCAGAGTTCTGGAGGATTTCTAATCGAAGTTTTAATATTTATTGTTCAAAAAAACTATTTCAAGATTCGTGTTATGCCTCTAGATTCCTGTGAAAATTTCCTGAAGACTAGTATAAGGGGGAAATTACACGCTCAAATCTTAAGTATTTACATATCTAACAGTTATATTTTACTTTTTATATTCATATTACATAAAAACATCACTATTTTAACTTCTAAAAATGAAATACATCTTTTCTCATGCATAAACAAGATGAAATGAATGTAAAAGTTAAATTTTAGATGCTAGATATCTAAATACATAAGAATTGAGTGGCATGCATTTAAATCTTCCAAAAATTTCCGAAATTAAAATTGAGTCTTCCATGAAAAATCCTTTCTGTTTTATTCCCTTCAGTAAATAGAAGGCAGACCCAAACACCCTAACACACAAAGAGTACATAATTAAGAACTGTTTGTGGAACATAAAATTTCAGAATAATTAGCTTACTGAACAGAAAAACATTGAAGACTAGAACTGCAGCCATAAAAAGGAACATAAATTGCAGTTCCTACAAAACATGATCTTACAGAACACTAATGGTACTGAGTTTTATCTCTAGCCTGCAACAAAATGCCAAGTTGTGCCAACAATTTCAACAGTTAAGAAAACTAAACGGCAGAAATCAAACTATAACAGTCTGTATAATCACAAAATGTAATATTGTTATCCAAAAACACATCATTTACACAGAAAGAAAGAGTCCCCCATACATTTTCTACATTGAATAAAAAATTAACAGAAATATTATAATATCGTCCCTCATCTCTGCACATCAAACGTGTATAACACCAAAACTCAAACAAAACTAAGTAATCCGAATCAAGGAAACCATATGCTTGTACTATCTAACCTCATTCTATGTCATGGAGATCATGAACAGAGAAGCAATCAACATGAAGAACAACTTGAAGTTACTCAGAGCAGATATCTCTGCAAGTAATCAGAAGGAAGAAAAATGCCAATTAGCTCTGCATAAAATCATCAGAATTATAAAATTGTATGATCTGATCACCTCCAGCAAATGAATTATCATTAAGATTTGTTGATGAAGATGATGAGGATGAATTTGGTACACTGATGCCCAGGTTCACACAATCTCCACCAATTGCACCTGCAGAATGTTCAGTTTGGATTGAAGGTAGGATTTTATTTTCATTTAAATTAAGACAAATTACGCATCTGTTTCTTACATTCCTGGTAGCAAGGAAAGCTGGAGACATTGAGAAGATTGCTGTAGCCGGCATCGCAGTCACACCGGTGCTCAAAGGTTGATGTTCGAGCGCAGTCGCCGGTGCCGCAGAAGCTCCAAGTGCATGCTTTTTGGATGAAATTTATGACATAATGGAATTATTAGCAATAATTTTGTATTATTTATGGAGATTTCTGCAAAAAAATAAATAAATTGAAAATAGAATCAATTCATACGATTGAAGAGTGAAAGGTTGCTAGGAGGTGGTGGAAGGGGTGCTGGTGCAGGTGTTGGAGCTGGAGAATTTTTGAAGCAGGAGGAACTTATAGTGCCTGAAAATAACAATAAGAAAGCTGAATGATTGATTCATATTTAATTTTCATGAAGTTCATTTTGTAGCTTGGAACGAGAAAGTTGTGATAGGCACTGAAATCATGGTATTAAAATTAACAGTTCAGCAAATGCCTCTGTATTAGAAGCCATGGAAGATCAGCAGCATTGAGAATATCATAAGAGAGCAATTTTTAGATATAGGACTACTTTGATTCAAAGTGTACGTTTAATGAGTCTAAGGCTTCACTTGAGAAGGGAAGGAGGTGAAGCTCTGTTACTTTGCAGTGAATGCTGACGCGTGGAAAAATTTTCGTTTGGTGAAGCAGTGTCTCTCGAATATCTCTTGAAATTGTTTCACAAGGACGATATGCTCTTGAAAGACTTTGAAGAAAGGATGATTCAATCGACTGCACAGAATTGCTCATAGAAGGATAATATTGAACCTTCTTAATCAAAATTTTTTGGTATTGTTATGAATAAGTAACTGTTTACATGTAAGAGGTGTCTTAATTAAAAAATAATTAATAATCATACTAAATTTTTATTATGAGTAATTATATGATTATTTAATTAATCCACATTTACACATTATAGGTATTTTAATTGGTGTGTTATTAATTAATGTGAATTGTTGTTATGAGTAATCATGTCTAATCCATGCTTAATTAGAATAACTAAATAGTCAAGGAATTTTAATTATTTAAATAAACTTATAATTAGTCTGTAAAATACCACACAATTCTTATGTATTGAGACATATAACCATTTAACGTTCACATTGATAACACTAATATCTTAAATATCACCTCATAATTATCACTTTTGTTTAATTTTTTAAACCACCTTTTTTTTTTGTTTCAAGGAAATATGAAATATACATTTTTCTTAAATATATGTTTAATAGTTGTTGGAAATTAATCATAATTGAGTTAGGTTTAGCTAGCTTAAGGGTCTGTTTGGGCCAACTGCAACTAATTAAAAAATAGCTGTGTAGTTGTTGAATAATACTTTGATGCTAAAAAAGTTACAGTGATATTACAAGTTTAAAGTCAGACTGGAACTATAAAGTTGTGACCACACGCACACAGTAAAAAATGATGGGAAAAAATAAATTTTAGCTGCAGCTTTTCGAAAAAACTATGAAAACACAGTTTACCTGAAGAGATAAAGCTGCGGTGCGGTGCTACACCGCCTCCCCAAACGGATCCCAAGTCAACGTGAAAACAAGTTTAATTGTCACAAGGAACAAAAAAATGGCACAATTTTTTCTCCACTTGAATAAGATAGAAAATTAATTAATAATCCATAAATTAAAATAATTTTAAATAAATTTTAAAATTTGTCCCGATCTTCTTTTTTTTCTTTTAAGATTAAATCATTACTAAAACAATAATTCTTAAAAAGAAAAAAAGAAATTAAAAAAAAAATTTAAGAATTACATAAGAGAAATTGATTTTTTTTTTTTATTTTCGAAATATTCATATTTACAATTGTGCCCTCCAAGGGTGGAGCTGCACGGCAAAGTTTCGGTTACCAAGTCGGCCACGAAAACGTTTTAATTAGTATTTTTGCTTTAAAATACAACGCTAATAATATTTAAAAAAATATTATAATGATCCTTGAAATGCTACGTGGCAGTTAAATAGAATATATTTTTATTTTATATTGATGCTTAAAGCCACGCGGAGGGCACTGCTGGGCTAGGGAGATTTTGATGTGTACCAAACATCATTAATCTATTCAATAAACTGCCAAAAGGCCATTAATTGTACTCAAAAGCGATTTAAATTCTTATGGCGGTGATTGGGGCGACGTTTTTGCATTTCCTAAAATGCGGGCCGCGGGCCGGGCCGCGGTGTATAGCTCACGGGTTCGACCCCACGGCCCGCGGTTCATACTTACTAAAATACGGCGTTGCGTTTCATTTTCGCGAACGACCCCGTGCCCTAGTGCGATATGTTCATCTGCGATCACTCGCCCTCTGCGATCACTTGCTTCCTATTCTCTTCTTGTTTCCTCATCTCCTTCTTGGCATTTGCGATCTATCTCTGGATTCCTCCCTTATCCATTCCCTTCAGGTAAGCGCCAATACATATCACTCTATTCTGTTGGAGTTACATACATTCCATCTAAATTGTGTTTTTTTTATGGAAGTTTACATACATACCGTTCGATTCTTGTGTAGTTTGATGTCATTTTTGTATGTTGGAAAGGTGCTTGAATAGTTGATAGTTTGGTGTCATTTTTATGGAAGGCTACATACATAGGACTCCATTCTTGAGTAGTTTTTGATGGACTCTTTAGGATTTAGACTAGGATTTTGGTGGAAGGTTTTGGTTGGTATACCAACAACCGCACGCTACATATGATTCCATATCTTCCTACTTTGAGTTGTTTTTATGGTATTTTTTTCTGAGGGGAAGGGTTTTGTTTGGTATACATGTTATAAGTAATGTTTAGATGTTGGATATGTAAATACATGTGAATTTGGTGGTATGTATGTGAAAGCTAATTTTCTTTTTACACTATTGGGGCTCATGTTCGTGATATGCTAATGATGAGATAGCAGTTGTGGGTTGGGGCATTTTTTTATCGTGCTTTGTTGATGTGATGGTGGTTGTGGGTTGGGGCATATGCTTCTGATTTGCTTACGACATAATGTCTGTGGGTCCAAGCATATGGTTGTGCTTTTGGCGATGTGATGACGGATGTGGGTCGATGCATATGTATCTGTCTTGCTGGTGAGATGGTGGCTATGAGTTGGTGGACATGTTTGTCCTCTGTTGGTGGCTTCGTGCAGTACCCACAGCTTCATGTGACTTAGGGTTATTGATGGGTGTATCTTGGGGTTATGCTGGCTGTAGCTTGGGGTTATGGTGGATGTGGGTTGGGGTTATTGTTGGTTGTGGCTTGGGGTTATTGGTGGGTATATCTTGGGGTTATGGAGGTTGTGACTTGGATGTATGGTGGTCGTTGCTTAGGGTTATTGGTGGATGTGACGTGCATATGTTGTTTGTTTTGCATTTACTAATCTTTCTTCTTATTATCATGACAAAGTGATGGCTAAGAAGAAAGAGGTTGTTACACCTGCACTGTGGGAGAGAGAAACCATAATAATATTCTGTGACATTTGCTTGAAAGAAATAGATCTTGGTAATAGGCCCACGACATTCTTCAACAAAGAAGGTTGACAAAATATTATCAAAAAATTCAAGAAAAGTACAAGCAGAGAATACGACAAGATGCAACTAAAGAACACATGTGATCAACTCAAGAAGGATTATAAAGTTTGGAAGGAATTGCAACGAGGATCAACGGATTTGGAGTGGGATCCAATGAAATGAACTATTGATGCTTCCAATGAGTGGTGGGCAAAATGACTTGCGGTGAGCATCTCTGACATTTACCTTAATGTGGTTAATTTAATTTCCAGGTTAGGATCAACTGAAGTACATGTTATGACTTTGTAGGCGGTCCCTCCTGCTGAAACTCAGCTACCTCGAACTTGACTTGGAGGAGAAGTCAGATCGAATGTTCGGAGGGGTCGCGGCGACTTACAAATATGCATGTGGCCATGGTGAAACAGGTTATGGTGCCAGGATCGAGCCCTTAGCTGTCGAACAATCGGGTGAATCCAACGACATCCCCAGCCCATAACCTCGTGAAATTGAGTTCACTGGCCGCACCAAGCGTCCTCGGCCTCGGTTTGAGAATAAAAAGAAAGGCGGTGCTGTTTACCTTAGAACCGAGATATTTCAACTAATGGCTTCTTGCACTACCAACACCCCCCCCCCCCCCCCAAGTTGAATCAGTGGATACAGTTATGGAAATTTTGAATTCAAATGATGAACTTTCTAATGAATTGTACTTGTTTGCGATAGAATTGCTTGAACATCTGACCCGTAAGGATTTTTTTGTGAAGATGCCCGATGGTAAAAGGCTTCCGTACCTACGATATTATTAACAATTGCATGCAGATCTGAGAAACTTGTTTTAATTACAGTTGCTTGGGACATTTATGTTTGTTTGTTGTTTTAATAATATTGTGGATATCTCATATGCTTGGAACATTTTATATTCCTACTACTATTCTAATTTTTATGTTATTTGTTCATCAACAATGTTAGTTGTGTTATTCGTGCTACTTGGGACATGATTGTGTTTAATTTATTAATGCTTTCGTGTCAGCTAGTACAACACACATCTTGATGAATTAGGATAGAGAAAGTCACAGAAAGATGGTTGCAGTTGTATTTCTGATCTACGAACATTACAACAAGTGTGTATATCGCTCTCCATGCTTGACATCCTCATATGTTGGGAACAAATGGGTTGGTGAGCTGCTTATTGCACATCCAACGAAATTCAATAATATGTTCCGCATGAGACCTGAGATATTCAATGATCTTTTGGCGGAACTAAGCATATTTCATGGACTGCATGGGTCATCGAGAACGACTCCACGAGAGGTATTAGTGATAACACTCTACATATTATCCTAGAATGCGTCAATGCGAGACATAATGGAAAGATTTTAATACTCATCTGAAACAATTGGTAGATACTTTTCAGTGAGTTTGGAATTCCTTGTGAGCTTATCTTTACAGGTTATTAAACCTACCGATCCTTCTTTCGAACAGACACCTACGGAGATTGCACACAATGCACGGTACACGCTGTTCATTAAGGTAATGCTTCATTGTGATTGCATTCAATATTAAAAATGTATGTCGTTCTTTTAAAACTCGTTCAACTTCAAGTAGGATTCCATTGGAGCAATATATGGAACGTTGATGCATGAGTTCCAAACAATGAGAAAATCACATTCATCGGACGTTGCAGGGTTCCTACGCAGAATTTCATGGCTGTTTGTGACTCCAACATGTGTTTTACTTTTGTCATGCTCGGTTGAGAGGGCAGTGCACACAATTGTAGAATTTTCAAAGCTGCAACGTAAAATTCTCACTACAACTTTCCAAACTCCTTCAGGTACGCTCGAGCCCCAAATACTCTTGTATTAAACTTTAACCTTCATACTAATTATTCAGTACATTTTATGTAAGTATGGCGTGGTTGACGCTGGATATTTGTTACAACGAAAGTACCTAAAACCCTATCCTGATATGAGATATCACATACCTGATTTCGAGTTTTCTATCAATGTAATACACGACAGAAAGGAGTTGTTTAATAAAAGGCGCTTCTCAGTACGTTGTGTCATCGAAAGAACTTTCAGAGTATAGAAGAAAAAACGAGTTATACTCCGTGATATGCCACTTACCCGTTTCCCAAACAGGTGCAGATTATGATTGCCACAATGACCGTAAACAATTATATTCGTCTGCATCCATCTCACAACGATATTGACTTTCATAAGGCTGACGAGGATCAAAAGCATGTACCGCTCGAGGTATTTAAGTACCACCTTGGGCATTCTCTGTCACAAGTTGAGAATGATCCTTTTACTTTCTATACTAGAGGGGGAAGGAGCAAGCGAAATGACAGAGTTAAGGGAATAAATAACCGATGTGTTAGTAGGAGGTTGATAGGAGTGTTTTTTAGATCTTTTAGTACTATGTATTGAACATTCAATACTATATTTATTTTATTTAAAGTAGTTTGTACTTTACATTTTATATTTATAGTTTGAATTTTTTGCATTATTTGTACACATTTGCATTTCATTTGTTTATTTATTTATTTTTTTGGTGGGTTTGAGAGTTCAGTGATGAGACTTTTGATCTTTATGAGTTCTTCTGAATAGCTTGTTGGTTGTCATATATTAGCGCTACATGTGAAATTCTAATGAAGGCAATCAAGTTCATCACTTCTCTTCGGTACATCAGTTTATGAGGTTCTTCAGGATGATTATTTTTGGTGATATGCATATGTGACGCACAAAATGTTAATTTTGCGTTGGTTAAAGAGAACCAAGTCATTTTTTTCTATTGTTTTTTTTTGTAATGATCAATTTGTTAGTTGGTATGTTGAATTCTCTGAGATCTCACGCCTGCAAAAAACTATCATTAAGTAATTCTTTTAGCAATTTCAACTTCTGTAATGACTAATGAATTGTCTTTTTAATCATTTAGAAAAGATGAGCTCCAAGATTTCAGAGACCTCCTGATGAGTGCTCTGCCATTGTGGACTACAACCTTCCCTACAGACGTCACGCCAAGCACATAACTATGAGAGACAGTTCCACAGCTGTCCGCAGATCATCACAGGGCATTGTGGCTTCTTTCGATGGGCAGATAGTCCATCGAATTCCATTGCCGAGGATGACCGTGAATGGATGCAATCACTGGAGGTCAGTGTAGCACGAGGCATACACCTTTTGCATGTTAAAGACAATATAATCATTATATTAATTGTAATTTTAATAGTTTTAAACCATTTTTTTTTACACTTGATACTCGTTGTTAAGTGAGGCGTGTATTTAAATTTTTATATTGTTCTGAAGTGAATTTTTATTTTTGAATTATCAAATATATGACTATGACAGTTCTGTTATAAATAATATTACTAAACATGAGCAGAATTGTTATTTATCTAGAAACAACTGCGACGTAGTTGTTTTTAATTAGCTGAAACAAACAACCATTGAGCTTCCTAACAACAGTTTTCTCGCAGCAGCTTCCTGAGTCAACTAAGCTGCAGCTGATAAACTGATAAACTGTAGTTGCCCCTAACACACCATCACAAATTTTTTAAAAATAAGTAAATTGCAAGTGCACGGCACTCTTTACACCCAACACAACATTAATCTCATTAGTTACGGACTACAGAATTGACTGCTTAAAAAAAAAAAATTGCATTTGACCAAGTCAACTTCTGCTATTTACATATTTTGATACTAATAATAATAATTTTATAAAATAAAAAAATTAATTTAATAATAAGGATTTTTGTAATAATTCATATAATAGTATTCTAAATTAAGCTCAAATTAATTCAAGAGCAAAATTAGAAAAACCAAAAAAAAAAAGGAAAAAACTCACATTGAGGAATAACACAAGGGAGGAAGCTGAAATGTTCTGAACCATTGAACTGATTCCAGCCAGCGTTACACTCGCACATAAACCCAAAGGTATGATTTTGAGAAACCTTGCAAATCCCCTTTCCGCAATCAACAGCTTTGCATATTCCATCTGTTAATCAGAAAGTAAAACTAATCACATATCCAAATCAATCAAAAACCAGAAGTGGGAAAAGACAGAAGAGGAGAGAAGAAGATGAAGGAGGGAGATGAGAGAAGTACCGAGGACTGGGGAGAGCAGAGGAGAGAGCATGTCTGCAGAGACCAGGCTTGCTTGCTGAAGCAGAAAGATTGATTGCAGAGCTGCCAAAAAGATTGAAACTTTGGCAGAAACCGCCATTTTTGTTCGTTCCAAGCTTCGCAGGGAGGGATGGGGAAAGTGAATGCTTAGAGGTCGTCTGCCGACTTTCACATGATACGGCGAGCTTTTATCGGCCCACGTTTAATGTAAGGATCTGTGAAGGTGCGGTTTTTGTTTAAAATTGGCCTTAGAAATAAGATGTTATTGGGTAAGAAAGGTCAACGATTAAGAAACGGGAGGGTAGATAAGTCGAATGAAATAGACTTGGGAGAGCAGGGGCGGCTCAGGGGCAATAAAGCTAGTTCAGCTAATACGGCATTAAGCATCTCGAGAAGACTAAAGTTTGAAACGAAACATTTAATAATTTTTATATTTTTTTGTTTTATATATATATATATATATAGACCACCTAAATCTTTTGTATCACATAAAAAATACCACTATTTTAACTTTCAAAAAGATATTTGGTTTATGATTGCAGAACATTTGTAGTGTCATGTAATTCATCTCAAGGATGAATTTGTCTCAAATAAAAATTGATGCTCTTGCCACTATTGGAGTAATTATTGATCTTGAATGTAGGGCTGTCAAAATAGCTCGTTGTTTGTGAATAATTCGTGTTCGGCTCGTTCGCTAAGTTAACGAGTCGAATAG